AGCACCGTCTGGCGAGCAGCCAGGGGCTCCTGTGGCGCTGGAGCATCCTGGTCCCAGCCGGCCTGGCCAGCCCCCCCAGCCCCGCTGCGGCTCCCGGCACTGAACCTGCACCTGGTGCTCCGTGGCGTGGGGGCTCTCTCCAGGCCCCGGGGGCCGCGCTGCCGGCAGGACTGGCTCGGGTCCCTGCACCGTGGGGACACTGGAAGGCGGGTAGGTGGGCAGGTGGCTGTGGGGATGGGGGATAACCCCTCCTTGCAGCACCTGGGAGAGCTGTGCCAGGCCAGAGAGGCGGCTGCTGCCGGCAGCATCCCCAGCCCGTGCTGCAGAGGCAGGTGCCCGGAGCACGGAGGCCGTCAGGAGCAGAGCCTGCTGTGGTGTGTGTGTCTGTGCACATGTGCCTGTGTGCACAGCCCGGAAAGGTCACTGTCCGGGAAAGGTGTCAGCAGCCAAGAAACCGGCTTGGAATGGAAAGCGTGAGCCAGATTGGAACGCAGGGGCGGCCGGGAGCGTCCTGCTCCAGCCCCTCCGTGGTCACCGTTTCCATCTGCGCCACGGCAGGAGCGGCTCTGCATGAGATGAGTCCTCCAGGTGCTGGACAAGGTGTCTGTCCCGGGGGATTTGGGCAGGACAGGGGTGCCTGGAGGAGCCATGCAGCGAGGGGTACTTGGCTCCGGCGTAGTGGGGAGGAAACAGCCGGTAGAAGGGAAGGGCTCAGCCTTTGTCTGTCTATGTACTACAGCGTCTGCTTTGCTGGTTGCACACTTGACCCAGTCACCTGCCACTGGTGTCTCTCCTCACAGCTGCTTTCTGCTCTCTGCAGGGTCGTGGAGGCCAGCACCCTTCAGCAGGAGAGGCTGCAGGCCATCGCGGTGAGTCCCTGCCCCGGCCCCCGGCCCCAGCTCATCACCTGCAGCACACGGGGCAGGCACCAGCGGGGAGAGTGCAGGTGCAGGAGAGCTGGTGCAGGTGCTCAGCCACAAACCAGGGGTCTCCAGCAGCTGAACGAGGACCTGGAATGGCCCATGCCAGTGTGTTCTGTAGGGGCTCTTCCTGGGGTGTCAGAGCCAGCATGGCTTGGCGGCACCGTTGAAACGGGGACAGAGCAAGCAACAGGCAGCTGGGAGGTTTAATTAACGAAGCGGCGCCTTGACGAGCCCCAAGTGAGGAAAATGAGCGATGATTCCCTCCTCCCCCCTTCCCCAGGAAGGGCTGAGGATGGTGCTCTCCAGCCATGCCCGTCGTGGGCACTAGTAATTACATTAATTAGCGAGCGGTTGGGGGCCCCGCGGAGCAAACCCAGCACAGAGCAGGGCACGGGGCTGTTTGAACCCACCGCTGCCCCACGGCAGCCCCGCTGCCCAGCCCAGCCCAGCCCAGCCCAGCCGGCCCATCTCTGCCGCACAAAGGGCAAATTGTTCTGGACCAGAGGAGAAAGCGGCGGGTGACGCGTCCGGGCTGGGTCTGACTCTGCTGAAATGATCTGGAGCAGCCCCAGGACGGGTGGCAGGGAGGAGCGGGGCCAAGGGGCTGCCCTCGGGGCCAAGGGAGTGCGGGACCAGCCTTGGCAACACCCCACAGCAAGCCCGGTATCACATCCCTGCCCTCTCTGGGACAAACTGAGGCGTTGAGGGTGTAGAGAAATTGGGGCAGAGCCTGGGCTCTGTTCACCATCTCAAAATGTCACCTTCCCCTCGGCCGGCCCCACTGAGCGAGCTGCCAGCACGGGGGAAACAGCCCCCG